CCCTAGTCATCTCCCCATTCCAGGGAGCGACCAGGGCATCAACAGGATCACCAACCGAGGTGGCGGGAAATTCCCCAAGAGCCATCAGGAATCCATCCGGATCCATAAGCCTCCTGGGGCGGACCATTTAATGGGTCCTCCACCTCTGCGGAGGTTAGGGGGTGCAGTGAGTCTAAAGCTGACCAAGTGGTGGTCGGTCCATGGCAACGGAGAGATGGATAACTCCTCAACACCGCCACCTTCCTCCCATCCCTGGCAGAAAACCAAGTCCAATGTATGTCCAGCACTGTGGGTGGGGCCAGATACCTGTTGGGACAGCCCCATGGTTGCCATGGCAGACATGAAGTCCTGAGCCGCTCCCGATAAGGTGGTCTCGGCGTGGACATTGAAGTCCCCCAGCACAAGCAGCCGTTGGGACTCCAATGCCAGGTCCGAGACCACCCCCGCTAGCTCAGTCAGGGAGACTGTAGTGCAGCGAGGTGGACGGTACACTAACAGAATCCCTAATCTGTCCCGGTCACCCACCCTCAGGTGGACGCATTCAAAATTTGTTGACTGCGGGATGGGGGCCCTGGTCAGACGAATGGAGTCTCTATAGACCACTGCAACTCCGCCTCCCCGCCCTCCGGATCTCGGTTGGTGCTGCACAGAGAAGCCTGGTGGGCAAAGCTGGGTCAAATTTACACCTCCCGCTTCGTCCAACCAGGTCTCTGTGATGCACGCCAGATCTGCCCGTTCATCCAGGATTAAATCCTGGATGAAAGTTGTTTTACCATTGACAGATCTGGCGTTCAACAGCACCACTTTCAATTCGGAGGGACCGCCATCCTGGTTACACCAGCTTACCGTATCAGGAGACCGATTTGGAATTACTAATGTTGTTCCACGTTCCCTAGACCGAATTAAAGGTCTCCCTTTCCCGTATCTCCCCCTCCCCACCACGACTTCTATGGGGGCTCCCCGGTTAACGGAACCCTCTCCCTCCTCCATGACGCATTCAGTAGCCATAGTCTCAATCCATAGTTCATCATTGATTGTTTGGTATATTACAGCTTCGGATTGCCATAGTCTTGCCTTACATTCATTTCCCACTCCTGTTATGTTATACTCATGTCTTCCTGATCTACTCTGTTCCCTCTCCCTACCATAAGCAATTAGCAGCAAGATTAACAAATGCCAGGGAATGGGTAGCAACATGAATGGCGGCTGTTGAACACTAACAGGGGAGTTTCACTGGGGTTCTTAGAGTACAGATAGATGGTTGTAACGGCATTCACGATGGTACAAATAATTAAAGTGCAATAGCTTGTTAACTGGCTCTAAAGTGCTAAAATGAAGTGCGTCATGGAGGACTTAAATTCAACACTAGATGGTTAAATCTATTAAAGTGCTGAGGCTTAATAAGGTCAATAGACCACAGAGGTAGTAAATTAAAGTGCTGGTAGTAGATTAAAGTGCTGGTAGAGTAAAGTGCTAGAGTCACGCCAGATAACTATACACAGTACTTCTTAATAGTGCAGCAGTTATTTCTTAAAGCTCAATTCAGTCATTAAATATAGTTGTTGTTATACTGCGGTTGAAGACCCCCCTCCTCTCGGAGTTTAAATTGCTGTCCCAAAAGATGTATCAATGGGGTACTCCGCACAACACAATAAGAATAGTCAGCACAATCAAAGAAGATGGGCAGCACAATCACAAATTGTGTTACCTAGGGAAGACTCTGCTGCATAAGAAGTACTCCTTAAAGACTGTTGCTAAATGAAGAATTCTTTTGAGGATAAAGACAGAGACTGTTGAATTCCTGCACTGAAATCTGACTCCAGGAAAGGATG